CATTTAAAAAGACACAGTTGGGATCCGCCCAGAAAAAATCGAACACCCTGTGTGACCGCCAATATTTTTATTTTGTCGAGCTCGAGCAATAAGGTAATATTATAGAAAATTAGATTCCTATCTGCTTCCTATATAGAGATATGGAAAACCGCGCCACTGTTGCAGGACCCTGTATACATCCATCTCAAGCTTGTTTTTGGTAACTCGATAAATGAATTGTTAGGCATTGAGACATATGGAAAGTGGCAAGCATAGGGAATTAGTTTTCTTCAGGTAATCAAATTTTGACATAAAATGACAATATTTTACCAATATTTTTGAAAATCCAGATGTTTTACCAGATTGGATCATTTATTTAATAAATTTCGTCATCACCCACTGTTATAAAAAAGACCCTGTAGTGATTCACGATGTGAATTGAATGTATTCTGAAAATTCTATGATTATTATTACGGATAATGGTATTAATTTTTATCAAGTAATGGGTGAGAGTATTCATAATACTCACTAATATCCCATCCTATTCGCTCTCCAGTGTACAGCCGTCGCATGTACGAGTACCTTGCCAATTTCTTCATTGAAATAGTAGATGGCATTACATTGTGAAAAAAATGGATAGAAGATGCTGGAGTCACAACAGTTTTGAGTTTAAATTTACCCATTATGAACAGGCAACGTTCCTTGAAAAAGTTGAAATAATATTAAGTATCATATGTGTTTTTCAGATAAATTCCCGTGATGAATCAGAAAAAACGGTTAAGGTATCTTTGCCGGACTCAGCTACGGCAACCGTATATGTACGAGACTCCATGTCTGTAGAAGAATTTTTAGCAAGTGCGTGTGCTAGGAAAAACCTCAGTGCTACAGAACATTTCATCCGAGTGAAGAAGAGAAGGGAAATGGAGGACCACAACTATTTCGTGCCACATAGAAGCGATTTAATTGAAACCTATGTGAGTAGCTTTTCGATTCGTTCGCTTGGAAATGAGAAATGTTCAAATTGAATGTGAGGAATTGGATTCTGATGAAAAGATTCGAATGTGGGTGTATATTTGTGTGTGTGGAACAGCTGAAAGCCTAAACGATTATGTATTTGACTGGTTTATTCGGTATTTCGAAGTTGATACCTTCAGGACTTTCATCAATCCAGTTCAATTAGGGCGAATGTGGAATATACAGAGTTAATCTTTTTTATTTGTTGAGATTTTTCAATATCTGATATTTGTAACAGAAAACGAAATATAAGAACGAACTTGGTGAACATTCCTCTGTTGAGATGAAGATTGAAAGTTCCATTCCATAAGTTCATGTCCTAATACCACTCAATAATGTAGAGAAGCAAAAGTCCAATTCTTTAGACCAGAAAGTTCAGAATTGAAATCCTCTTCGTTCCTAATGGAAATTTTATAGTGCATCTTGCAGGAAATTGTAAATATTGGAGAAAAATTATTTTCATAAAGCTTTCTGATTTTTACTACTCCATCTTTATACTAAATATTTTAGGAAACTTTCAAAGAAAGAAATAATGTTCGAAACAAAGTTTTTTCAAATCATAAATTTTTGATAAATATAATTCTGAATAATTTGCATTTCTCATCAATTATTACGTTATAATTAATAATTTTTTCGACAATTCAGTATCTATTCATTCACTTACACTTACCTATTCGTGTAATTAAAAAGTTATTAGGGAAACTATATTTCGAAAATATACTCATATTTTTCTTATTAGTCAGTGGGCTATGCTTGAAGACTGACAGTAAACAAATCTAAAGAAATGAACTTTAAACGTTCAAGTCAGTCTCGAATATACCTAAACAGTAGGTGTCACTCCATCTAGTGGATGAGGTACTAACCAGTTGTTTTCTGATAGGCGTCAGTCCATTTAACCTACTGTGTAGGTATTTCGAGACTGGCTTGAACGTTTAAAGTTCGTTCCTCGCTCATCTCGCTCATCTGTTTAAAAAAAACTGTTTTTTTGTTAATCAGCTGCCGCCCCCATACGAACGACAACTCTCAGAAGTTGAGAAACTTGTGTGAGCTAAGGACTAACGAGGTCTTACCTTTTAACGTGTGATTCCTAACGCTCATCGATTTTGATGTTAATGAAAATAACGTAACGTTCATTATTAATGGTGGATTTCTTCTGCATCGCGTTGTATGGAGTAGAGAAAACACATTTTCTATTATTTTAGATAAATACGTGAATTATTTACGAAGGTATTATGGTTCAGAAATTGTTGGTGTATTTGATGGTTATTCAGACTATAATGAAAACAATGGAGTAATGGAGCAGCGGAAAAGAACTGCTGCCCTTTTAAAAACATACGGTTATACTTATTACCCAAGAAAAGTTTCTATCAAATCCAAATCATAAAATGAGCTAATTAATATGGTAATTGAAAAATTGCAAGCTGTCAATATCACAACAAAACAGGCCAGATATGTTCTTATAATTGAAACAGCTATTGATAAATATGAACGTCAAAAAACTGCTGTTACAATAGGAGAAGATATAGATGTATTTGTCATTTCAATTGGGCGTACCCTATTTCACCTTCAAGAAATTTCCTAAATCAGAACAGAGGATTCCTCAATCCGAACTTATTCTCAATAAACCAGAACGCTCTATATCAACTGCGCCTGATCCTGACGTCCTAGAACCTGAATTTCATAGAACCAGAACAACTCTACTACAAATCCGGACGAATGCTGAGGCAATGGACGATGTGCATCGCACGGTTTCGTACGAACGGCGTTCGTTGAACAAAAAATGTATAAAATTCAATTCTCCACAATATTTATGATACATAGAAATAGCATGAAACCCATAGAAAACAAGATATTTGTAATTAATGTGTAAAAATTAATTTTTTGACCTTTCACCGTGGAATACCTGTATTCGCGGACATCCTTCTATAAGTAGGTTTGAAAACAATTTTCAGGGTGCCGAAATGATGGTTTATAGATGTTTATAGCAGACTATCTCCCATTCCGAGGTGAAACCCCTAATATTCCTGGATGGTAATGTAAATGAAATTTTGTATCATAACTTTTTCATACATTATATTGTGCAGCATTCCAATAAATGATATCTGATCCAATTCCATATTTGGAATACAAAAAGAATAAGAAAAATTTATTTTTATTCAATTCAATATTCATATGGAGGAAGTTATTCTCAAAGTTTTTTCTGTCGTGTATTTCAATGTTAATGTCAAAGTAGTTATTTCTGGAGGGTTTTTTCCGGGTTTTATCTAAAAGTAACGTTTTTGCATGATCTACACATCTTTAAAAAATTAATTTTGAACGTGACGGCTTTTTCCTTCGTTTGGAAGTATTCTACAATTTTTTGTATAACGATGGAGAAGTGAATGCCGGAAATCTCTTCCAGTAACTAAACTTTCCTAAGAGTATATACATACCTTTCAGTATTAATTTCCATATTTTTCAATTGTTTTTTCCACATAATATATTTTATCGATATGGAACTGTAATTTCAGATAATCTAAATATTGGTATATAAAATTTCTGACAGGTTATTTTTCTTATTAAGTAGTCCTGCAAGAATTTGTAATTTAGATTATATGGGATTGGTTGCTATGACTACATAGGGTTTGTGAATATTTATTGTAACTTTGTAGCCGACTCCAGCTATACTCACTTTGTAGCTCATTGCATCAACTGGAATAGATGTCTAGATCATGCAAAGAATATATGTTCATATGTTTTTTATATGTTTTTTCTTATAATGTTATACACCTTGGTACTGGTAGACCTACGATGTTTCGCCATAAGACACTTGCCTTAGGGCTCTTCAGTACCAATCTGGATAACCTTATGTTTTTTCTTATGTCGAAACATCGGATGTCTACCAGTAAGGATCACTGTATTCCATGTAAGTGAAATTTTCACTCTTTGTCATTTAGTATATTGTGTAGGAATCCTGTGAATGAAATCTGATTCAATACCATAATGAATGTATGTAATACAAACTAAGTAGAAATTGTATAATTCAGTATCCATATGAATGTATCTGTTTCGAAAGTTTTTTTTTCTAGCTATCGACATTCAAATCCTTTAATAACATTTTCTAAACTGCAGCGTTGGTGATTGAGCATGTTCAATTTCATGACAAGTTCCTTCATATTGGCATTTGATATTCAAGTCTTGTTTCGAATCATAATGCTCAAAATCAAGAATAAACAGTGTTTGTTGCCAAAGATATTACAACAGCGATACGGAAATCGTCTCTAAAATCGGATATTCTCCTGTTACGTCGTGAAATTTACTAGCGCTAGTGTTTCGCGATGGTGACACTCGATTGAAAATTGAGAGGAACCGAACGTTGTAATGTAATCACATTGTAATCTGGAAAGCGATCGAGAAAATTACGGTCTCAGTGCTCGTCAGACCATAGATACTGACGTCAGTGAGTCGCAACTCATTCTTGTTCTTCGATAGATATGTGATAGTTTTTAGCGGAAAACACAAGTCCCAAATAATTCATGACTATGAAGTAACAAATCTGAGGTTGCTTGAAATCGCTTTTTACTGAATTGATATATGATAGAATTGGTCGGTACTTAATAAAAATCCATAACGTAGTCAAGTAACACTTCATTGTGAGATTTTCACTGAACAGTTTAGAAAACCGCAACACGTGTTTCACTGTACAACAGCTTCCTCGGGTGTATTCATACTGACAGAATGATTCCTAATCAGTGCTTCATACAATATATCAATTTGATTCATGACTTTCTACCTACTTAATGACTATGAAAAAATTTAAAAAATAACCTTAATGAAAAAAATTACCCAATTTCACGTACATAAAATAAACTTATTACCAATTTGTACATTAGGAAACAGATTTAACAAGGTAATGGAATTCAATTCTATTCGATCGTTCAGGAAATTTTCAGAATCATCATATCGATTGATTAAAATCACAAGAAGAGTTGTGAAATTCGAAGAAAAATCAAGAAAAACTTCACTTATACATAAGGAATACCAGAGATAGGAAGAGAAACGTCAAACAAATAAGTAAGTTAACATTCGGTTGAAATGATAACACAGCATAGATTGGGCATGCAGATAAGAAAGGAAAACAATAAAAGACATGTTGTGGCTTATTTCTTCTAGTAACACTTCAGATTCTGACTAGGAGCAAACCTAAAATATCACAAATTCCAAAAAAAAACATTCGGTTTTCATAAAATAACAAAAATCTGGCATTCGCGAGCTCTTGCACTCTCGATATGAGATGGAATTGAGCGATACTTGAATAAAATCCATAACTTATTCAAGGAGTGAACATAGCTCGTTCTCTTTCTCTCTTTAATATATTACTCAAGTACTTTTGATACACTAAATCACATTCTTTTGTTATCTGTTCTTCACCATATTGGATTTGAGATGAATACAGTGAATTTATTTGATGCATATATCTCAGATGAGTTCTGCGACAGTCTTTACAGCGATTGCAAGTGTTTTCTGAGTTTCTAATAAACAAATCGACTCTAATTAATTTCTAGTACCGTAGTGATATATCCTTTACAGGAAATGTATCTTGTGATCACTTAGTGGATATTTATCTTAAATTGAGGTGAATCCTCCGATCCTTCGTCTCTCATGAATTATCGAACACGGAAATTAACTCAACAATCGGTAACATATTTTACAATCAAAAAAAAGCTGAGACTTGACCAACAAGAAAGAAAACAATGAAATGTAGATGATACCGTAGATTTCATTTTTACAGTACTATACAGTACTATAATTCCAAAATAGTGGGTACTAAATTCTCAGATTCTCAGTAGAGAACAGATGAGAAAAAATGATGATACAGTATATATGATCACAATCTTGACAACAATGTTTTTGTTTTAATGCAATAATATTTCTGAGAATTCAGTGACTACTAATATGGAACTGTTCTATAGTGTTACGG